TATCTGTACCAATGCTTTACTATCAATGTCAATCCGGACACGATAATTATCTTTACCAATGCTTCACTATGAGATTCAATCCGGACATGATTTATCTGTACCAATGCTTTAATATCAATGTCAATCCGGATACAATTTATTTGTACCAATGCTTCACTATCAATGTCAATCCGGACACGAAATGTCTGTACCAATTCCCAATCTATATCTATCTTTCAAGAAGGTGATTCAGGATGCTTCTCGTTCCCTAAACAAGAAGTAATTACTCTCACACAGTAATCCAAGCAGAGTCTAATTCCAACTAAATGTATTTGGGTTTCTATGTTACAAGTTAAAGTTAATCAACGTAATTACAAGTTTTACGTTGTTATATACAACATAATTAAGCTAATCATGTTATGTATTTATTTACATTGTAGTTAAGATAAATCATGATATAGGGTTTGCGTAGCTAATTACAAACGTAGATAATTAATGATGTACAACGTAATTCAGGTTTACAGATATAGTGTTACACGATATTCATTACAATATATATAAAACCAAAAGAATTAAAGAAATTAGTTTTTGGAATTGATTTGCATGACCTAGATTTTAAATTGTACTATCCCAGTCTTCCTTATCTATAATTGTTCAATAATACGCTGCACTGATTTGACTTGTACAGCTAGTTTTCAAACAAATAGTTTCAGGATTGAATTTATTTGCAATTAAAAACTAGTCACGAATAGAATACTTTTTCATCTGAAAAACCTATTTTAAAACTATAAATCTGTAAACCACATTCTGCTCGTTTATTTGACGGCCAAAAAAACTCCAAGACTTCATATGGTCTATAAGGAATGAATTGGTCATGTTAGTTTAAAAAATAAGTTCATCCAAAATTTAGTATGGCTTTACAAATTTAAGACAGCTAGGCTTTTATGGCACTTCTTCTATTTCAATTGTAACATGTTCTCTTTGTATACATTGTAAAAGAAAAACAACAAGATTTCGCGGATTTTATAGAAAGAAAATTCTTGAACTTATAATTGTGAAAAATCGAATTTTGTAAGAGGCAAATTTTTGAATATTCGATCATCCATAATCCTTCCCTTGGGTAAATCAAGGTCCTATGAAAAATGTGGGCCCGATCGGTTCAGCCGTTTTGACGTTGAATACAAGCAGACAGACAGATAAGCAGGACTTGAAATTATGAAATAAGTTGAACAACGAACTTTTTCAGAAAACCTTTCATGACTACTGAAATCCCAGTGTTTTAAGATTTCTAAATTGATTTTCTAATTATAATTTGAAGTGAAAGTTTTGATTTGAAGTTAAAATATTTGTCTGTGTTTCAGAGTCATCCACAGATTACACAGAGACGACAATAGATGATACAATTGTTGAATCTGTTCTAGAACTTTTTAAAATCATAATCCTACAACTATGCAATTTTGAGACGGGGGCATTTATAAGATATCGCCAGTCATTGACCATTTAGTTGACTCTGTCAATCCAATGCTGTTTTTGATTTAAATGCTTTTAAGCTCTTATTAATTTTTTCAGTTTTAAAGAAATATTTTGAAAGATTCTAAACGATTTGATTGCAAGATAAAGGCATATCATAAATCTATATAATAAAGCTCTTCGCTCATATATAAATATATATATTTGTAAATTTAAATGTTAGCTGTAGCTGGCTAAACCAAATTGGCTGAATTAATTTAGAGGGTACCATAGGGGTAACAATAACATAGGTTAAAAAAATAATCATTTTTTTCAAAATTATTTTGTTAAAAATTTTTCCACGTGCAATGAGGGCAATTCATCTAGTTATAACATATTACAGTGACACCAATAAAACTGTAAAACTGTAAAACAGCAAATACACGTTATTGCCTTAAATGTCGTCTTCCTTTTACAGAGTTTATGGGTCTCATTGTAGAAAAGTTTATATGTAGATCCTTGTAAAGGAACTTGACTAACAGTGTCCTATCCTTGTAAACTGTGTAAGTAGGAACTTGATTAACATTGTCCTATCCTTGTAATCTGTGTAAATAGGAACTTAACTAACAGTGTCATATCCTTGTAATCAGTGGATATAGGATCTTGACAAACATTGTCTTATCCTTGTAAACTGTGGATATAGGGACTAAACTAACACTGTCCTATCCTTGTAAACTGTGTAAGTAGGAACTTGACTAATACTGTCCTATCCTTGTAAACTATGTAAATAGGAACTTAACTAACATTATCCTATCCTTGTAAACTATGTAAATAGGAACTTGACTAACATTGGCCTATCCTTGGAAACAATGTAAATAGGAACTTGACAAACATTATCCTATACTTGTAAACTGTGTAATTAGGAACTTAACTAACATTATCCTATCCTTGTAAACTATGTAAATAGGAACTTGACTAACATTATCCTATCCTTGTAAACTGTGTAAATAGGAACTTGACTAACATTGTCCTATCCTTGTAAACTGTGTAAATAGGAACTTGACAAACATTGTCCTATCCTTGTAAACTGTGTAAATAGGAACTTGACTAACATTGTCCTATCCTTGTAAACTGTGTAAATAGTAACTTGACTAACATTATCCTATCCTTGTAAACTGTGTAAATAGGAACTTGACTAACATTATCCTATCCTTGTAAACTGTGTATATAGGAACTTGACTAACATTGTCCTATCCTTGTAAACTGTGAATATAGGATATGCTATCTATACCACAGTTAATTAGATGGGTATGCAGAATACAACTGATTATATAGATACCAGACATGGACTGCAATCCAATTTATAATTATTAAAACATTTCAATTTTTATTCCAACTTTTCAGAATAGTCACAGATTTAAAATACTCAAATTTAATTGTAAATCCCCCCCCCCTCTCTCTATTGTTTATTAATTTTAATTATTCATTTACAAAATTACTCCACTGGTTAACATTTTTTTTTTAAAACATGTAAATCCACCACCATCTAGAGTTAACATTAATTTGAAGAATCGCGCAACCTCGTCCCCCATTTTTTACAGTATTTCGTGCAAATCCTTTCTTATCCAGCTTATTTCCCCCTCCCCTAAATACCCTGGTTAAAGTCCATAAAAATCTACCAACAACTGGTTTATGACCTGGGCAAAAACCAACGCTGTTAATTTTGCCTCCTCCCCGTAAAAGTCACAAAAATACATTATTTTTGGCATAAAAAAGAGAATTTAAAGCTCTGGAAAATTGTGTTTTTTTTCTGTTTCCTTCCTTAACTCTACTTCCGTATCCGTTTGTTTGGTTTGTTTGGTACATTTTAATCGAAACCATAGTTTTGTTTACAGACGGAGCTTGAAGAATGTTCAAAGTACATTTGGTAAGCTAAGAACCCATTTTTTTATTTATAATGTTTGTTTATATATAAAACTTGGATCCTAAACTTTGACCCAAATCTGTCAAGGGGTTCATGAGTTATGATCGGATATATTATAAACAAACAAACGAACATTACTACTTTTGTATTTATATTCTACTTTATGTTTATATCTCTTCTAAATAAGATATGTTTGTATGTTTGTAAATATATCATGTAAAGGTTATAATTGCGCGTTTATGTTTGTAGTTCATGTTTGTATCACTATCATATCAGGGATATGTATATTAGGATGTTTGTATTTATGTATGTATAGTTTATGTTTCTATTTTTGA